GCAACTCTTAGCCGGTAGCCTGTCAAGTTCATCAATTTAAGAACCTTGTTGAGCATCCTACTGACATTTTATCATGTCTCTCTTGACATCATGAAATCAGAGATAGTTGAAAGAACAAAGTTCTATTAATTTTGCCTAACTCAGTATCTGTTAAGCTAATGAGTCTATGTTTGGTTCTGGTGACACATTAGATCTGTATTCTGTTCATGACTTCGGCTCAGGTTCATTTGATCCACAGCAATTCATATTTTTTATGGGACATTTTATGGATAAGTTATTGGATTTATTTTAGCATGTATGATCACGTAGTTCACTTTCTGTCTATAGTAAGACGTACAATCCTATAAATGAAGGGGGAAAGTGAAGGTTGGGGGGGGGGGGGGTGTCTGCCAACGACAGCATCTCTATTTGAATGTCTTTATCATTTGTCATTCTCTTCATCAATTAAATTCCAAATGGCTTAAAAATATTCAGTACATTAGTAACCAAATTTTTAGACTTGGCTGTTGTTATTTCTATTGACACATATCCCTGATTATATGATATGGTAACGGGTACTTCATGTAGCACTCACAATATCCCATCTCCAAAAATCCATTAATTGAAAAAAAAATCTAACGCAGCAGTGTGAGAACCTGTTTATGTAATTTTTCATTTTTGTTACAAGCTATAGATGTCATCATCACACAATAACATAAGGTAGCTCTTCAATGCCGTAGACACAATAACATAAGTAGCTCTTCAATGCCGTAGTCAGCAATTGGAGAGATCATGTGGGGTTCACTTTGGTGTGAGATTTTTTTATACAGAAGTAATACCACCAAGCCTGGACTGACTCTTTTGTCAGTCAATATCTTGATCAAGTCTAGCCGAGAGGGAAGCTGTATTGTGATAAATCCATGTATCCATTTATTAGTATATTTAAAATGCTGGCAATGATGGTTTTATGCAACAAGCTCTAAGCTTCCATCTCATTCTGCTCACTGGATTCAATGTTTTGTTGCTATGCATTACAAACCATTTTATAGTTCTTATTTAACCCATGCTTTCTGTTTTGTAATGTAATAGTTGGATGCGGTCCAGTGATTGTGCAAATGGTTGAAAAAAATTATTCAATTTGTAAAAAGTGTTTTAAAATGTGTACAGGAAAGGGAAAATAAATGTATTCTCCCAATATGGTCATGTTTATTGGCATTATTTTTGTAATGTGCCCACTGAATAAAATGTTATGCTATAATTTCATTGAATTTATTTGCATTTTTAAAAATCAACTTCAGATGAAGTGTATCCTGAATGCTCCTTGAGGTAATGAAATCAAATTTATAAATTCAATCCAGGGTTGGAGTTAAATTATAACTAATCAGGTCATGTTAAGTTTCTAATTTGTCCACAGCAAATCTCAGAGAGAACAAATGTCATACAATCTGAATGAATAATATGCAGTAGTATATTTTAATGAATAGTTCTTCCCAAACCTACAATCTGAATGAATAATATGCATTAGTACATTTTAATGAGTAGTTCTTCCCAAACCTATCTAATTAACTGAAATCATTAGAAGTATTATTAGAGTAGTGGGGTGGGAGGACAAGAAGTTTCTATTTTTCTTTTCTCATGGACCTATCCAGTTCTTATTAACATTGAAATGTGCAGTCTAGATAATCTTATGGGTTGAACATGAAACACAGGCAGCTGTTGTAGGACAATAGTCTTAAACTAGGACAACAGTGTCTGTACAAACATAGTCTTAAACTAGGACAACAGTATTTGTACAAACTGGGAAAAAACTAGCTCATATGCTGTCTCAATATGTGGTAGAAATTTATATACTTTTTAAAATAAATACATTTTTGTTATACTTTGAACAAATCTGCAATGATCAATTCATGGCAGCCTGGAAACAATAAATGCAATGAAAATGAAAAATTCATAAATTTATGATAATTTCACATTAAAACAGCAGATATTAATTGAGTGACAGCATTTTAAAATATCTACAATGAATAATAACTTGAACAATAAAAAGTTAATTTTGGTGTAAGCAAAGTCATCCAGCAGGAACCTCATGAGAAAGCAGATTTTCTATTTTTGTCGATAATATTAGGGCCCAGTAAAATAATGTCATATGCGACACAGCCATGATTTTAAAATTGATATTTATAAACTAAAACATTGGGAAATTAAATAGAAATGTAAGTAAAAAAACTCTTCATTGTCCAATGTGGAGCGCATTCAAAGGTTGAGATTCTTTTTAGAAATAACTGTCTACTTTTTTAACTGATTAAAGTTGGAATCGAATGTGGACACCAAAACTTGAATAAATAAACTTACAGTTTATGGACCAGAAAAATGTGCATCACAGATTGAACAATACTAGAATGGCCTTGAATAACATGAAACACTTTGACATTTCTGTAAGTAAAATATGACTCTTTAAAGCAGGGGTGGGCAACCTACAGCCCCCTGAATCATTTAAAGTGGCCCCCTGAAACATTGAACATGTCCCACAAGACCATCCAGGAACTGGGTTAACATCTGCACTATTATTCACTAGTCATTGAATTTGTTAGTTATCAACTTGTTAGCTTAAACCCTAGACCAATGAAAAATGATCACGCAGCTGCCAAAAAATAATCCATTTCTAATCTGCACAAAAAGGTCACCCACTCCTGCTGTAAAGGAACACAGGAATAACGGGGTACAATGGAAAACAATCAACCAGAGTGATCTCATCTTTGGAGCATTCTACTCATCTTTGACTGAACTGTCATTACCAATGAGGAAACAACTAAGCTGAACCTTGTTACGGCAAGGACACTGCTGACATGTGGCCAGGACACTGCTGACATGTGGCCAGGACACTGCTGACATGTGGCCAGGACACTGCTGACATGTGGCCAGGACACTGCTGACATGTGGCCAGGACACTGCTGACATGTGGCCAGGACACTGCAGACATGTGGCCAGGACACTGCAGACATGTGACCTTTACACTGCTGACATGTTTGAGTTCTTTCATTGATAGATTAAGAATACTAAAGTTAAAGATTCACACCTGTTTTACATGCTGAGGCTCACGGCTTGTCATTGAGCAAAATTAATAATCCTAGTTTCGCTTGAGATTGATTCTGGTCACTTGTGTAAACATTTTTGCCCATTTTTATACACCAGAGACATGTGTTTTTTACTAATCTGCGATTAGATGGCCAAACACACATGGGTGTCACCTTCAAATTTTCAAAATATCTCATTTAATAGTCACAAAAAAGGGACCACAGTTAAAAATCATATGACTTAACAAGTGACTGCACCTTAACTTCTGTTCCCAAGGGAAAGACAATTTATCTTTATGTCAGCTAAAACACATGATTTTATTTGCAATTTGAATTTATGAGAAAACAGTTAAATCCAGAGCAACAAAGTTGTGAGATTGATAGTAAGATTAAGTAAGATGCAACAGTTTTGTGCTATTGGTAGTAAGATTAAGGTGCAAAAGTGTTGTGCTATTGGTAGTAAGATTAAGGTGCAACAGTGTTGTGCTATTGGTAGCAGATGAGAAAACTGAAGTCTCAATGTGAGCAAAAGGGAGGAAAACAGAACTAAACTGTGTTGTCATAAACATAACTGAATTGTGTTGTCATAAAACAGAACTGAATTGTGTTGTCATACAACAGAACTGAACTGTGTTGTCATAAACATAACTGAACTGTGTTGTCATAAACATAACTGAATTGTGTTGCCATAAAACGGAACTGAATTGTGCTGTAATAAAACAGAACTGAATTGTGCTGAAATATAATTGAAATGCCTCCATTATGCCCACAAAATATTCATACATTGAAAACACAAATACCATAAATCAAAGTTCCTACATAATATTAAATTTTGTAAGTTCAGCTGGAAACAATTACCAGGTGATTGTGAACTGTGTCAAAATTCTCCAGCCACCAACATTATGATCACATGATCAATGGAACAAACATCAAAACTCACATCAAATGTAGGTCAAGGGCTTGAATGCAAACTGTTATGTTCAGAGCACATTCAGTGACGGATGTCATAAGTCCAATACTCTGGAACAGAGCACATTCAGTGACAGACATCATACGTCCAACACTCTGGAACAGTGCACATTCAGTGACAGATGTCATAAGTCCAACACTCTGGAACAGAGCACATTCAGTGACAGATGTCATTGTCATACGTCCAATACTCTGGAACTGAGCACATTCAGTGACTGATGTCATAAGTCCAACACTCTGGAACAGAGCACATTCATTGGCAGATGTCATAAAACACTCTAGAATAGAGCACATTCAGTGACAGATGTCATAGGTCAACACTAAGGAACATAGCCATTAAGTGCAAAGACAATAGGAAAATAATTTTACTAGCCATTATAAATTAGTCATCAAAATTTGGCTTGAGTAGGTCAATGTGGAAGTGAATATTTGGCTTGAGTTTGTCAAAATTGTGGAAGTGAATATTTGGCTTGAGTCTGTCAAAATTGTGGTTGTTAATATTTGACTGGAGTATGTCAAAATTGTAGATGTGAATATTTTTATTGCAGACATCTTTTCCATGCATCATCCAGAGAAAAGAGGAAAACAAACAGCTTAGTTGAGCTTTGACATCATTGACTACATAATTTGACAGGTGCAGATTCAGCTCTATTGAAATAATAGAACATTACTGTCCAAAAGGAATTCTAAAGCACACAATCACACGAGAATATTGTAATTCAATGACCCAACTGGGTAGAAATTGAGGCGAACCTATCTCTAACCAATTGGGTAGAGATTGAGGCAAACCTTTCTCTACCAACTGGGTAGAGATTGAGGTAAACCTTTCTCTGACCAACTGGGTAGAGATTGAGGCAAACCTTTCTCTAACCAACTGGGTACAGATTGGGGGAAACCTTTCTCTGACCAACTGGGTAGAGATTGAGGCAAACCTTTCTCTAACCAACTGGGTAGAGATTGGGGGAAACCTTTCTCTGACCAACTGGGTAGAGATTGAGGCAAACCTTTCTCTGACCAACTGGGTAGAGATTGAGGCAAACATTTCTCTAACCAACTGGGTAGAGATTGGGGCAAACCTTTCTCTTTGCTTTTCAAATGAACAAAGTGCAAGTTTCAAAAAAATATCTATGTAAATGGAACAAAGAATTAAACCAATCAACTTCAGATAGTAATATTTGAGGTTATCAGTGTCCTGATAGTTATAGACTTGCAATTTTGTGACCAAATCAATTTGAATTCTCACAGCTCTTCACTAATTCAGACTTCAAAATTGTAAAGACAAATATAAACTCACTCATGCCTTCTAACTCACATATGCCATATAACTCACATATGCCATCTAACTCACTTGTGTCTCATCTCCAAAGACAGATGTGTTGATTCTTTTCCATTTATTTCCTGCACTGTTTTTTTTGTGTCATATTGCAACAAACCATATTTTTTAAATTCAATGTTATTAGGAAACAATACTTTTGTTTACTTTATCTACCGGGGAAAAACACTTTTCTTTTTACTGAAATCACCAGGAAAAAACACTATTTTTTAAAATAAATCTAGCAGGCACAAAGTCCTCACAAATACAGAAATATCTCAATTTCAGTCTGGTCCAAAACCTGCTATCAAGAAATGAGACATTCTGGTCCAAAGCTGCTGTCAAGAAATGAGACATCCTGGTCCAAAGCTGCTGTCAAGAAATGAGACATCCACACTTTGACTTGACTGACGGCCCAAGCCGTTTGTTGCGTTTTCTGTTCCTCTGTTTCCTAGGAATGTTTAAAGTATTGCTCCATTTGGATGGACTGTCCCCTCCCTTACCACAGCAGCTGCCGTGATCTGGTGACATAGCACAAGACAACATGTTCCTGGGACTGCGGCAGGTGGAAAATTTTCGAATGCATTCCTTTATATAGTTTTCATAGCGCAAGTCCAATTCTCGAGCAGCTGATATTTGCTCAAGTCTTGCTGGGATTTCAACAGCCCTTGCACACTCGCGTGAACACGCCCAGTGCTGGAACGGCACACACGTGTTACCAAGGTAAGGATTTTTAAATGTTATCACTTTGAATCCTGTAAGGAAAAATAGTTTAATTAAAACAAATTTAAAATATAATCAGTGCTGAGTTGTCTCTTAGCTGTGCTACAGCAGGCAACATGTTAGTAAATAATGCAAACATTGACTGATGCAGTTGTACAACATGTTTGTATATAGCGCACTAAGGGATCAACTTGGTTGTATAACAAGTTAGGATAAAAGGCACCAAGCGATTGACTTGGTTGTATAACGTGTTAGGATATAACGCACCAAGCGATTTTCTTAGTTGTAAAACAAGTTAGGATATAACACACCAAGCGATTGACTTGTATGTCAGGCACAAACTGATTGATTCTGGCACAAAAGTTCTGAATTGTATGTCAGGCACAAACTGATTGATTCAGACTTTTAATGGCAACTAAACCAAATGGTGAAACAATCACATCAGTTTTACAGTGTCAAATTAACACAGACGCTTGTTGCCATAACCGCTGACACTTGTTGCCATAACTGCTGGCACTCGTTGCCATAAATGCTGACACTTGTAGTTTGGCATTTGAAACAAATTTTGTCACCATCTCTCCAACAAATCCTGACATTGTTAAAATGGGAAATATTGCAGGTATCGAAAACAGTGATGATTAATTGCAGAAACCTTCATTCATTATGTTGCTTATTTCAGTGTTTCGAGTTCTTGTACAGCTGTTTGTGTATTTTCTGTACAGAATTTTGATTCCTGCAGGTCGGCGTGCATGGAGTGACTGCTAAAGAAGAAAAATATATATTGTTAGTTGAGATCGTGACTTCCTAAGAACTTACCGTTAGTGTTTGAGAGACAGGCTTTATTGCAATGGTGACAAATGTGAAAGAGCCGATAGATATCCGAGATGTAGTCTTTTAACACTGGCACAATGTTAGGATCTTGGAAAAAATTCAGTTTGGACCCGATGATTGCTTTGGCCGCCCAAAACTGGAGACTTTCATGCTTGCAGTAGGCCTGCAACAATCAACAGATCATTGAAAAGTCAACTTTAATCATCCAAAATTAATCTGCTTATACAAAATGCACTCTAGTAATTTATAGATGTCGATTTAATCTAGGTTGTTGTAAGGAATCATTGATGTTTGTATTGATTTAATCAAGGTTGTTGTAAGGAATCATTGATGTTTGTATTGGAATGTACCATATTGAGCATTGGCTTGGTTGTAAAAGTCTGACAGATCTTCATCAGAAAAAAACTCAAACTTCCACAACCGAATATTTATTTAATTTTCTTCTTAACCGGAAAAAATTACACAAACATTTTTTAATTTGTTCTCAGAAAATCGTAGTTTTGGCGGGTTTCGGCGTACAATTGTAAAAGACAATTAAAAATCATACATAAAATCATAAGCGTAAACAGGTCTGCATATGTATTCTGCGAACCAAACATGTGCTGCTACTACGTGATGGCTTACTCATTTAAGATTAATTTGATCGGCTTATAGAAATCTTATGCCCAATGAACTAATTTCTTTCTTGTAGGGTTATGGATCATTAAGAACTGAGCGCCAATTTTTTAAAATAATTTTTCCCAAACTTTCAAAGACTGGGAAGTTTTTTGCCAATTTACCCAAACTTTTCAGGCCCTGGAAATTTTATTATTTTTTTCCCCAAACCTTCAAAGACTGCGTGAACCCTAAAAAGTGCTATCATACGCATTCCCCCTTTGATACAATATTTGCATGTGCGTGACTTTAAAAAGTTTCTATAATGCATTCAAATGATACAATTAACAAGTTATATTTATGTGATTTTTTGTGTGGAGGAAATGCAAAAAATTCAATCCAAATTAACGACAATGTTGGATTTTAAAACTATAAGTACAAGCAGCATAGCCAGAAGGGGGAGCCACTGATACTGTTGTGGATAAGATGGCGCCTTATTGGAAATACAATGAGGTGCTTTATTATTTTTCTAATTTTCCAGAATAATCCATTTAGAAACTCTTCAGTTGGCTGGTGGTTTTGTAACAGTAAGAATAATGACAGTGTAAGAAATAAACCTAGTCTGACAATATGACAGAATCCAAGGTGTCATGGTGTAGGTTGACCATGGGACAGAGTTCATAGATTGATGGTGTAGTTTGACAGTGGGACAGAGTCCATAGTGTCATGGTGTAGTTGACCATGGGGACAGAGTTCATAGTTTGATGGTGGAGTTTGACAGTGGGACAGAGTCCATAGTGTCACTGTGTAGTTTGACTGTATTGTATTGTAATATGAAAAGGAAATCTTGCACGTACTTGTGCCTCACAAGCCACCGGTATTATCCGAAGATTGACATCTGTGTGGTACCACATGAAAGTAGACTTAAAGTAATTGTGGTTGCCATGACGATGGACTGTTTCAAGGGCGGGTAGAAATGGAAGGAATCCAGGGAGAGCATCGAGTAAGTTGTTATCTGGAGAACAAAAAATCTGTCATCAATTGAGAAATCATAAAAAATTACGAGTTCATTGGTTGCTCTCAGCATGTTAGTAACTACTTTACCCAGCATGCATCAGTAGATCAGCCAGCCAATTATATAATAATAATAATAAAAATAAAGTTCATTTCAAAAACACGCTTCATCCCCAAAGGCTCGAAGCACGGTACAAAGTCAACAAAAAACAAATTTATAATTTACCACATTTAAAACAAATGCAACCCTTCAAAAACTAATTACAAGCATACAATGTCAAAGTCTTTCTAGCCATTTCAACCATAAGCAACACAGCCATTATGCATTAACTGGAAAATAAGGTAGACAATCATCCCACAAGGTGTTTGCGAAATAGATGTGTCTTTAAATCGGTTTTAAAGGACTCCAGTGTCTGGTTGTTTCTGAGATCGACAGGAAGGGCGTTCCAAATTGTTGGACCAGCAAATGCGAAAATATGAGACGTGAATATCCATTTAATAGAATGGGATACCAATTAGCAGCCAATATTCATTTCATTATGGAATGATATATCAATGAGTAGATTACCAATTTTGAAGTAGTTTGGGAGAAAGGGAAATAATGTGAAGTTTTCAGCCTAGTTTCATTTCTCTGATTGCCACTATGCCATCAAGGTAATATGAAGATAATTCAATACAATACATATAACATATGACTTAACCAAGGTACAATGTTTGTTGGCACATACTGCATGTGATTTACCCTGGTACAATGTGTGCTGGTACATACAACAGATGACTCACCCAGGTACAAGGTGTGTAAACGTGTCAAAAAAGTGAGAGAGTATGGCAAAGACCAGACAGAGAGCTTGTTGTTAGTCAGAGCCAAATACTCGAGGTTAGCCAAGCGTCCAATGTCACATGGCAGGTACTCCAGACTGTTGTACTTCAGGCTCAGATATTTCACATTTTGACATCGGAAAATCTGCAGATAATCAAATCTCTGGTGTTATTGGCTCATTCCAAACAATGCACTTCACTCCTTTCCTAAATCAATATTATAAAGTAAAATGTTTATACATTTCCTAACAGTTCAGGCTTATCTCATATCTCAATAATTAAAGAGCTACCAACAACATAATTTCCTTAAAGTTTCAAGAATCATTATATTTCTCCATTAATCATAAAAAAATATATGTTAAAGATTTTGAGGTAAATCCTTTAAAATATTTTCTTAAGCAATTATGCTCCAAATAAATAATAACAGAAACATATCAAAATAAAATAAGACACCACAAGCTGGCAACTATCAACATGTAAATTAATTTGCTGTACATAAAAACTAACTGGCAAAAGTAAAAAGAGTCATTACTTCTCTAGGTAAACGATTGTCATCACCAAATTTAAACATGCTGTCAAGACTAAGCACTGTGAAGTTATGCAGATTTAAGTATCGCATCATCAATGACTCTGAAACAAGCAGATATCAGTCGGTTATTATGCTTTCCTGACATGTCATCAACAAGCAAGAGGAAAACAACTTAGTTTGTTTAATCACATAACTTGTATAAATAGCTAGTTAAGAGGCTGTTAAATGAAGCGTTCACTTAAAAGAAAGCCAACCTCCATATTTAGGGAATCTCTTGCAGCGTTCTCTTTCAATTTCTTCTTGAACAAACTCCAGTAAGTGCTTAGGTCGTCTGTGTAACATAACAGACAGAAACCAAAGATCTTGTTGTATGTCCTGTAATCAAAGAAAAATTAACATTAAACCTATTTCCATAAATGCCCCAACAAACAATTTTGATTCTTTCACAAGTCTTATTTTTACAAAAATGAGAGCATTATACAATTTAACTAATAAAATACAGCATCCAACCTCTTGCTACAAGAGTATAAGACGGCTGAGTTCCGAGGTAACCAAGCTTTACTACAAGACCTTTCTTATTTGAATTTAGATTAATGAAAAATAATAAAAAATTACATTTATAATGTCTGATGAGTTTCAGTTTTTAAAACACAATTGGTCTGGTTTATTCTATCATACAAATTATGACTTAATAGAAATAACCTGCCAAACCATGGCGGCGGCAATGTGTGAACTTCCGATCTACTAAAGTTACTTGATAAAACCTGGGAATTTTATGTTGAAAACAGTATAGTCCATGCTACAGCGATACATACATACCTTGAGAATTATTATTTGTGATTGCATTCAATTTGTCTTTCTGAGCCAACTTAGCACAAAATCTAGTTCCAAAATCAATGGATCTTCTATTAAGTAAGCTGCATCTATTTATTATAGCCATCTAGTAAGTGACCTACGCCTACATCTACTTATAACCATCTATTACATAATTTTGATCTACATAAAGCCATCTAGTAAGTTAGTAATTAACTTGATTCAAATTGTAACCAACAATAGTCTCTTTGTAAAAAATTTGCGTTAAATAAACTAGTGTTGGACAGTGGTTAACTCCAAAAGTTATTTCCAAATAATATAACTTGATATCTGTTATATGGAAAGCTAAGACACCACAAGTTATTCCTCTAGTCATGTTGAAGTTTCTTGGAGAAGATTCAAAATTCTGGTCTCTAATGAAAATTTCAGTTTTAAATTTCTCTGTTTTCATGAGCTTTTTGGTGTTTATATAGGTCACCCTTTAAAAATTATGATTTGAATAACATGCTCGGATGACTTATATGTGAGGAGAGGGGGGAACTTCTTGCCATATATCTGTGGGAAAAAATTAAAATGCTATACTCTATCTTCCAGGTCACATTATGAGTGGCTATAGCCTATACTATAGTCCTACAAATTAATAACCATGACCATTAGTATTAGGTTTCGTAGGCAGCAAGATGGCAATGTCAAGTAAATAAAATTAAAATGTACCGATAGTTACAATTACTCAACATCGTGTCCATGACAATATCAATCAATAAGAAGTTACCAAAGACTCTACTAAGTAATGACATGAGTAGATCCCAGGACCTAGCAGTAAATGATAATTGATATAACTTACCCCAAAACCCAACTCTTCTAGAGATTCAAGAGTCATAAGTGTTGAATCATCATTTGCACAAGCTGCTTCTAGATCTTCGGATGTGTCTGGGTCAGCTCTTCTCCTCAGGCGTTCTCTCCATTCATACCATAAAGCGGGTTGCTGCTGAAATCGTCTGAATAATAACAACTCGAAACCAAGAAATGGATCAGCCATTTCTTTTCGCTGAACAGTCGCTTGCTGGGATATGCCTGCTTTAAAAATATCAACAAACCCACAAACATTTACGACAACACCTATTTCACCCATATCTCTTACTTTTTAATACATTAGAATAAGATGAGTGTTATATTGATTATTTAACATATGCTGTGATCTTTTCTATTTTTACTGTTTGGGATTTCAAGTCGGAATTCGTCATCATGAGTTAGACCTAACGATTTCCTCTGATGAACAATAACACTGGTCACTGGTAAACTAAAACTGTTTTCACTTAAAAATGTCTACAGGACTAAACTGAGAAAATTGGTGTGAGAATAGTCTGATAAAAGATTGACCCCAAACGATTCCTTCCCCTTTCATCACAACAATTATTTACACAATAAATGTGATACTAATACTTCCGGTTATAAACCCCACAAATGAAATAGTAGTAGTAGTAGTAAATAACAACATTAGTTAACATCGTTTATCGTAAGAACCATTTAACTGAGTCACTGTCCCTGTAACTGTTATTCTAGTCTTCATATTTCGGTACATTATTGCTCTCATTGTACTCTTCAAATGCAGGCTGGGGCTCATTATCATGCCCAAGAGACTCAATCGTGAAACTGTCGTTGAGTCTGTTTTGGATAACTCAATTGACAACAAAGAAGTAGTAAACAAGAGTAGGACCTTGGAGAAAAATAATTCAAATAAACTTCACTCAACTAAATCAAGAACAGTTCGATCCAATGCTTCTAAGGGAGCCCTTTTAGAAAGTGTTGATAGAAAACAGGCTCATAATTTGAACAGGCTAACTGCAGAGGTCTCAACAAATCAAATAAAGAAACAAGAAGTTACAAAGATTTCCAGCTGTGATTCCGGTAAAAAAAAAATTTGCATAATAATTCATAAATCAAAGTAAAGAGGCTAAGAATATTCAAATGTAAGCGAATGATCTCTTATTAGGGCTAATATTACTACGAAGTGACTGAGTGGGGCGAGTTAATCCCTAGGCCTAGACTAGTAGTTGAATTGGGGTTTTTGGGGCTTAATTTAAGGTTAAAATGTGCCTTAAATTTGACACTCCCTGTTTCTGCCCTTTCGCTGACAACACTCAATTGTCATCAGATTACAACTTAAATTTAAAAATAAATATCTATAACTTCAATGCTAGGTCTAGATAACTAAACAAGCCCGCAACTGAGAAAAAACGAGGGAAGGGATGATCGCAGTTTGCCGACGGGTCTTCTCTCATATTTGAGAGGCCGACAATAAATTTGCTACACTCATTTTTTCACTCTGTCTTACCTTTTGTTAATGCCAGTAACTAAGTTCATATTTTCATGTATTTTAAACAAGATCAAATTTTATGTACCAGGTATCAATTAAATAAGTCATGAGTAAATAAAACATGTAATGTATTGGTTGATATTTTGATGATATTTCATTGAAATATAACCACTGCACCTTTCAGAGTATTCTTAGTAGACTAATCTAAATTATTATACAGTTCATGTGATCCCATTACCTGTATTTTGATGAACACATGGACATTTTTATATATTTTAAACTAAAGCATCAATTAACAAGTATTCAAGGAATAGTTTTAATATTTTAAATTCATTATGTAATAAAGTAACAGCAGTATGTAAAAATGAAAACAAGAGAATAGGGTCACAAAGTGCAGTACATAGACACTAGACTGTAAAAAAAAAAAAGACAATAGAACTTGCCTCTTGTAAAAATTCATAGCCCAAAAACTACTAAAGCTAAATGATGCTTGTTTTTAAAAATTATTATTATTTTTTTTTTTGCTGAAGCCACTAAGACTAAGGCGCATCCTGATTTAGGCCTAGACCTGTATGAGGAAGTAAGCATTTTGATTGTGCTCTACCCAACGCATATTATTTTATTATATGTAGGACCCTGCTCATTCCACCCAACAATGACATATTATTATTATTAGGCCTACTAATACTAAGTTTACCTTGTCCATCACCTCCATGCCATGACTGAGCAGTAAACCTAACAATTTCTAAATATGTAAAAGCTGCAGTAAACTTAGCATATCCTCAGTGGAAGTAAAGCTGGATTAACAACTGCTGCAAACTTAATGTCATTTTAAAAAAAAAAGGCTTAAGCAAATTTGATTTTAGGGATGATATGGAAAACTCTTCTGTGATTAGTTAATGGAAATGCACGCTCTCTGAATGTGGTAAATGGCAAGGCATAGAGTAAATACTATTATTGAGTTTAAAAGAAATGTACAATCTAAGTTTACATATTTTTCTATACAATGTGTGTTTGTGTCCATGACCATGTTGAAATAGGCATGAATTAATGGTCACATCCTTAATATACCCTTCTAAATATATTTTTGTAAAAAAATATTTGTTTAAAGTTTTAATTCATGTAAAACTTATACTATTGAATCTAATATATAGCCAAGCTTTTATATTAGGCCAATATGTTTAATGAAATAATTAAACTGGAATTCTGTGATTGTCAGCCATTATTACAAACTTGCGTTTCAATTCCCAGTTGAAGCAAATTTATTTATTTTTAAATAATATCTGATTCTGAAAAGGGCATTGGAACCTATAAAAACATACCGGTACTTTGAATTCAGTTTTTGAAAAATATAAAATTTAATAAGCCTATAATGGATTAATTGTCAAACGTAAACATTGTGTATAAGTCATTTCTAGTCCAAATAGACACTCCCAAATCTTTTTCTCTCTGCTTTATTAGGCTACTGTTTTTGAAAAAAATGATGTTATAAGTACTCATTTAACAGCTGCAGTACATACAGCTGCAATGCATGTAGGTTTGAGTTTTTTTGTGCTTGTCGCCTGAGTAAACCTAGTGCCTCGGTAACCTAGTACAGACCATACTTATTTGGCTTTATTGAGAATATATATTTAATTTAAACAACTATCAAACTACTGTTTTATGACTCTAATTTGTTTAAAACGTTGAGAACTACTCAGGTATATTCCCTGCTATTAGTATCATATTGGAATATAACCATGGTTAGAGTGGGGGTTAGAGTGAAATAAATACTAAAGCTATCTTCACATGAACATTTGCTCACTACATTAGCGATGATAAGCATGTCAGATAGTTATTTTTAATAATGATCTTATGGACTAACAATTATTATTCACAATTAATCTGATTTTTTAAAGAAAATAGCATCTAAACATCTCAATTGGATTGTATAATTTATTATACTTTTATTAATTCATTAAATTTAATTTTATAAACCTACCTCCTACTTTATTTCATTTTTATGATTAAATGTGTCTGTTAATAAAAATATTCCAGACCATGAAGATATTTCTGGAATTAGTTTCAAATTCAGCCAGGAGCCCCTCTTGAACTCTTCTCAAGATGATTCATTCTGTGATGTGAAATGGGATTGTGGGTCCCCTGAAACCATACAAAAAGTGAAGAGATGTAAGTTGAACCATATGTTGGGTACACAAATATTCATTTCTAAAACCATAGGTAAAAATGAAAATCTTTGTGTCACAGCTTTATAAGCATAATGGAACTTGAGAAATAATGGAAAACAAGGATCACTTATTATCTTCAGGGAGCAGATAGAATAATATCCACAACTATAATGTTGCATTATTCATACCAAAATATTTATTTTCTTTTTCTGCTTCCTGTAGCTATAACTTTTTTATATTGATTTAAAGCTGAATCATAAATAATTAGTATGTGTATTTCGCACAACATAACTTTCTGATGATCATAATTTCGTAATAAAAAACTCACTTTTAATTCCAGAATCTAGCTCTTAATTTTGATGACTTGATTATTGTATATTAATAAGTTAACCCACTGACAAAATTTTCTAAAAAATAGTTTGTGAATTTAAGCTATTAAAGTGATTTAAAAAAATATATATTTATCATTAAATTTATTGTTACTGATATGTTCTCTAATAGGGAGAGGCCATTATAATGCTGAGAGTGTGAAAAATGCTGTTTCATACTTCAGTGATATTGTAAGTTTTGTTATTTTCTTAATGTATTATTATTATTATTATTTAATTACTGATTTTAATATTATACTTAATTATGAACATAGGTAGAACATTTAGTTTTTCTTCAAGAAAATAAATTTAAATAATGTCAGAAAAATCCATGAAAAAGATTTCAGAAAAGACCCTTGCATTGTCATCTATATTTAAATAAAGTAAAATATTATTTTATTTCTTAGCATGTCAAGTCCCAGAAAAATGCTTCTAGTTCTAGCAAAGTGGGAACAATTTTACACTCCAAAGACTTATTTGCTCTTGCTACTAAAAGCAGACCACACAAAGGAAAAGAAAGGTATGACAAGTACTAATTGAGACATTGACAACCATTCAAATTAGAGATTCGTAAAGATGTAATCTTTGAGCTTAGCACTACTTTGCTTTATTGTAATTGATTAATTAGTTCTGATGTTTAAAAAAAACAACAGAATGTATAATTTTGAAAAAGACCAGCGGTATCTGTCAAAGAAACATTGTCTTAACAGTTTTCCAGTTTGTGTATGTGACCTTACATTTAGATAATTTTGTGCCTCATTAGATGGTTAACATGGAGTTTATCGTCTCTGCAACTCTTGAAACGCTATCTCCAATTTTTTTTTAAAAATCCACTTTATAAAAAATATGCTGCTTTAGGGCTTTTTGTAAATAAATTTTTTTAAGTTATTCAGTGGAAAGTAGATTTTGTGTCACATGATCGAACTAAATGTTTCCAAGTTCATTTTAGTTAGGTTCTTAGTGTCACCTGTAACATTTAGATAACCTTACTCGGCATTTAGACAGTTACAATGTAACATTTAGATAACCTTACTCAGCATTTAGACAGCAGTGTAACATTTAGATAACCCTACTCAGCGTTTAAGACAGCTACAATGTAACATTTGGATAACCTTACTCAGCGTTTAGACAGCTACAGTGATGATGTACATTAACGGAGAAACTCCATTGCTTGTTTTTGCAGGATATGTAAAAAGAAGCCACATGATTTTCAAGAAATGGTTGATAGTTTTCTTCAAGATTTGACTAAAAAAAACCAGACAGGTAAATAATTGGATATTTCTTAAATAAATTTTTTGTAAAAAGTTTCTGATGACAAAATCCACAAAAAAAACAGTGTCATTAAAGCTGCCTGTCTAGTCTGACAGCAATCAGGGAGTATTGCTTAAAATAAGGTTGGCATATGACAGCAATCAGGGAGTATTGCTTAAAATAAGGTTGGCATATGACAGCTATCAGGGAGTATTGCTATATAATAAGGTTGGCATATGACAGCAATCATGGAGTATTGCTATAAAATAAGGTTGGCATATGACAGCAATCAAGGAGTATCACAAAAAATAAGGTTGGCAAATGACAGATATCAAGGAGTATTGCTAAAAATAAGGTTGGCATATGACAGCAATCAGGGAGTATTGCTATAAAATAAGGTTGGTCTATGAATGAGCTTTGTAAGGTGGGATATGTTTGGTCTTTGAGCTGCTAATACACTATTTAGTTGAGTAGGTACCTCTATTAAACTCTACTTCTATTAGATGTTTTTGAATTTCAAACAAGAACATGCTCCTGTCTAACTCTTCCTTTTCCATAACTATTCTTATTTAGTTATTTCACAAAGTAAAAAATACAGGTATCATTAAGTTCTCTTATAAATATAAAGTAATATTTGATGTTGAATATTTTTTATTCCTTTTGTAAATTATTATTTGACGTTAAATTTTTAAAAATTTATTTTCAGGTGTAGATGAAACTTTTTCAAGGTAACTCCACACTGTTTTAGAAAGTTATGTTAAAACAAAACAAATTAATTCAAGTATTATCTATTGTTGTCTATTCCTTTGTTATTGTTGTCTATTCCTTTGTTATTATAATTTTGGTGAAGTGAATTAAAATGTTCACATTATGAACAACATAAATTTTCAGTATAGGCAAATCATAACGCATCATCTATCCATTTGGTACTCCAATAAAATAGGTTTTTTATTTGGTGAAATGCATTGTTCAATTTATGAAATCATCTGTCTTTTTGACAGGTAATAGCTAGGCTTGTCTTAAAGGGAATTCAATCATTAAAGCTAACATTTTCAATCTATAAAAACAGCAATCATTTTAAAGGGTGATTAGTGCTAGAGTTCTTATAATGCTAATTACTGTTTGATTTCCCAAAAGTTCATGTTGCTCACAGCAAGTAGCGAGGTCTAATTGAGATGAAATAAGTTGCTCACAGCAAGTAGCTAGTTCTAATTGAGATGAAATAAGAGCACAAATGAGCAACACTCATCTGAGAATTAATTTTTAAAGTTCATCCATCTATTTGAAATGTTTTTCTTGATAAATAGTGATACCACTTATCTTGTTTCTTCACAATTACTAAACCTGTACAGCAAGGGTGCTCAAAATCTGGCCCTTGGACCAAAAAAGTTTTGAATACCCCTGCTGGACAGGTTTAATAATTTTGAATACTATTAGTACTATTCAAGCAAATGTTTCAATGCCTAACAATATTTGTATATAACTTGTTATTTCCTGGCAGTTTTGTTACTTTCACAAACTAAGAACTGATACAAATCATTTAATTTGAATATTCTCAAAAGAGATTATCAGAAATCTGATTATGGATTAACATAAAATAAATATGTTTTTATTTCTCTTTCTTCAGTTCACCTGTGGCTAAAAGCACCACCGGCACTGAACTCTGTGATCTAGAAACCAAAGTAGGAGATGTTAAAACATCTTCTGATGGCATTTGTGATATCGAAACAAAAGTTGAGGATGTTAAAACAACTGCTGATGACAGTTGCTGGTCGGATGATGATCTGTTCAAAGATAATTCCTTCTTAATTGAAGCCACACAAAACCAAGAATCGTGCTTCAAAACGGTTTCAAGTGAAAATAAAAATGGAGGCCCTGGCGACTTGCAGCAGTCACATGGATTGAGTACCCACAATCCCTCTCATGGTTATTCTGCAATGAATGATTCTTCTGTAATACCGTCATCATGTGTTGCTGAGCAACCAGGTGTTAAAGTGAGCTCAGTATTAATCAAGTCATTAGTGTCTGACACTGCGGCACCGTCCCATGTCTTTAACAAACCTGGAGCTCTAAAATCACTGCATCACAGCTCCAATAAGGGACAGGTGCGAAATACATTTATTTCCAATCAAGATGCCACCTCAAAGATGAACCAGAAGAATGTTAGTACATATAGTTCAAAACCTGGTGCAGAATATCAAGCCAAGTGTAATGAAAGTGTCAATAAGTTTGTAAACAAAAATAGTCATCAAATGATTAGTGTACACGATAACTGCCAGTCATCCATTGCTCCGAATCTTTTACCTAATAAACAAGCTCAAACTTCTTTTAAAAAATACAGTAGCTTTCATATTGAAGTATCAAAACCGCCTCAAACTTTTCAGAGGACAAGTTCCAATAATTCCCTTAGAAAGACACAGAGCTTTGATGGCTTATGTTCTACAAATTCCTTGCAGTCAATGAAATGTCAAAGGAATAATGTTTCATCAACATCTGCTATGCACACCACTGAAAGCTCAAATACGAGATGTCATTCAATGTATGGTCAGACTCCCAGTGGTCACACAGCTCCCAGTGGCCACATAGCTCCCATTGGCCGTACAGCTCCCAGTGGTCGCACAGCTCCCAGTGACCACACAGTTCCCAGTGGTCACACAGCTCCCAGTGGCCACATAGTTCCCATTGGCCGCACTGCTCCCAGTGGTCACACAGCTCCTCAACGAAATTCATCATCATGCAACACTGAGAAAAAAACATTTTCTTTTGTGTCTTCCAAGAATGTGATCAAACCAATGGCAAATGTTGCCACGAAACATGCTAAAGACTACTCTTATGATGGCAGATCATGTAATGACAACAAGATGACAACAGAAATCTGTGTTCAGAGTGCCACGGGAGATGGCTTTGATGTGAGTTTACCTGAAGATGTGCTAGAACAATTGTTAGAGCCAGATGAGATCTTTGACAGCCAAGCTGATATCTTATCTTTTAGTGTTACAACTGAAGCCAAAACTGAAGAAAAGTTTCTGAATTCTAAAGCAAAATATAATGTAAACAAACTTCCTGTTACGCTGTTGAAGAATAATTTAATTCCTTCAAGTAAAAGTAATGCCTCTTCAACTGCCCTTAAGCAAAGCACCTGTGATAATTTGAATCAAAACTATAAACCTTCTTCAAGTAACAATGTAGAAAAACTTGTATCTCCAGTAAAACATGTTAGTGATGTCCAGAGAAGGGATCTAATGAACTCAAAGTCTCCAGTGCAAACATTTTTCAAAAAGACATTTTCTGTAAACAACACATCTTTTGGGACCACCTCCAGTACGCCAATAAAAGATTCTATAAGTATAGCAACGTCAGATGTTTCTCAAAGCAATGTTAGAGATGCTACAAAGAGTACAGGGGCATCAGGTACGTATTATATAATTGACTGTTTTGCTCTGACCGTGTTTGGAATTTTTGGCTTAAGCTGAGCAAATATCTTATACCTGAAAAATTTCTGAATCATTTTTACAATTTTTTAAAGAATCGTTTGTGATAAATAGTGCACATTTCCTCAAATTTTAAACCTCAAGATTCTAATCAATTTTTGTAGTTCCATGTGAATGCCAGGTCAATGCTGCTCATGTTTTAATTAAATGTCACATCAGCACTGCTCTTATTTCATGTAAATTCCTGGCCAATACTTCTCTTACTCCATGTGATTGCCAGGTCAAAGCTGTTCATGTAAATGTCAAGTCAGGTCAATACTGCTTTTATTTCATGTGAATACCAAGTCAATACTGCTTTTATTTCATGTGAATACAAGTCAATACTGCTTTTATTTCATGTGAATACCTAGTTAATACTGCTTTTATTTCATGTGAATACCAGGTCAATACTGCTTTTATTTCATGTGAATACCAAGTTAATACTGCTTTTATTTCATGTGAATACCAAGTCAATACTGGTCTTATTTCATTTGAATGTCAGATCAATAATGCTTTCCTTCATGTGATTGCCAGGTCAATACTGCTCTTAAGACATAAAACAAAATTTTTTATTTTTTATTATTAACATTTATTCATTATTTTATTGTTGAACAGATTCTTTCCTGGACAATGCTTTTGATGACAGTTTCTTGAATGATGAAGCAGTATACGAGTCCCAAATTTTACCCTATCTGGAGAAAGTAGAATGTAAATATTAGTATTTAGAATTATGGTTATCTGCAAGTTAATGTAAATAAAAATGAATATCATGAATAACTTTAAATTATTCCCATATTTTTCAGGTCTTATTTATAGCCTTATATTCCACTTGTATTTATAGCCTGATGTTCCACTTGTAATGTGTGACTGTTGAATTTGTAAATATTATAGCCTTATATTAAACTTTTTTTTCTTATTTGTCCGTAACTTATATTACAGTTGTTATGTCTGACTGTTGTATCTTTAGCCTTATATTACACTTTTTATGTCCCCCCACAGTTAATGCTATTGTCTTGATATTTTATTTCTTCACATTTATGCTAAATAATGTTCAAATATTTGTAAATATTCCTTGAGCAGTTTTTTTCTTCTATTTAACAATGATGTTGATTTTATTTGGCTAACTGTCTACATACTTTTTTAGCAGATGCAATCAAAGACGCAGAATCCCAGGTGCCGGCAACACTTTCATCTAGTCCAGTCCAGTGCTCACAAGAACAGATTGAACAGAAAAGACAGGCAGCAATACAAAAAAGATCGCTCCGTCTAAGTCAAACTAAAAAGCCTTGAAGTAAAAAAATATCCCAAACAGTTTAATATTAGGAAATATTGGCTATGAGGAATATAATTAATGTACCTCAGTGAAGATTTACTTTGAGTATTTTTAAATACTGGTAACAATAGTAATACAATTTACTAGATTTAAACAATTCTGTTTTGCCAAATTTGTTCATTTTATTCTTACGCCATTAACGCTCAGGTAAAGTTTGACTGAGAGATTTGAAAGGAATACATTAGTACATTCGAATAAATATTGAAATTGATAAAATTTGAACTTGTGTTATTAAAAGACATACTACAAACAAATTTGTAAACTTTACTATTTTATCTGTATGTAGTTATCCCCCTTTTCAATGATGTTTCAATGTTTGGAATCCAAGTGATTCTTTTATAAGATAAATATTTGATTGATTTTTGTGTAAGAAATTATCAACTTTTAAAGAAAGTCATTCATGCTTTGTGAGATTTTTGTTTCTTTCAGCTTTTATCAAGCTATACTCTTTTATCCTTACATGGAAATCTTTCTAATTATATTGTCAGGTGAAGGAGATTACTCTATTTACAGACATTATTTTAATAAATAGGTTTTGTACTGATAAACAAACATTTATTCAGTAATTAAATAAATTATAGTTATAACAAGGATAATAATCTGAATTTAAAAATAAATGCTTTTTAAAATATTGCCTTCATGACTGAGAGTTGATAGATACCGGTATAAATACTTGTAAATATATTGTCAAGATGAACAAAAAGTCATCTTACTCTTAGTCTTAGTTGAAAATGAATTGTTCAATAAAATTGTATTACTGATGAAAATAAAAGGCTTAATTAAATTATTTTACATCAGCCAATGTTACTATGTTATTTAATATTTCATGTAATATTTAGTACTTTCAAAATCTTTCCTATATTGGAGGTTTGATGACTGGCCCCCTTTTATTTTATATTTAGGTTCACAAAATTTTCCTTCAAATCTCTTTAGTTCATGCTAGAAATAAAAAGCAATTTGTTAAAGAAGATGATGTTATACTTAAATTCATATATTGAGTTTATTTAGGGACTCATTTAGGGCTCACAACACTCTGACTCCGATGTCCAAAAAAAGAAATAGGTCTTAAAATGTTTCTTTTCTTAAATGCTTTTTTATCATTTTTAATTTCCCTCAACGATTATGTAGAGCAGGGATCAGCAAACTACGTCTCATCCCAGACTTTGCATGAATAAAAAATTTTATTGGCACACGGAAGACCAAAAAATAATTATAAATGCATCTGAAACGGTCGACTCATTAGTTATTGGCATGCTGAGTTCATTATTATTATGATAAGTTGCAGGTGTCTGCAACCTTTTTTTATGAGGAACGTTGGGTATTAGGAACCTTTGGTATTAGGAAGCTTTGGTACTAGGAAACTTTGGTATTAACATTTATGACACCTGATGAACATGCGAGGATCTAACATGATTTATCAGTATATACTTTACGCTAACCTAAAACTAAATGGGTAAATTAAAATTTGAAAAGTTACACCATAATAATACACCTAAAACTAAATGGGTAAATTAAAATTTGAAAAGTTACACCATAATAATACTTAACACTGATATACTGGGCCAAAAAAATTTATTTCAGTATGCCTAGTATGTACAATTGTTGTCTTATGTAACTAGATGTTATCTGGTCACAGATTTCAGTTTAACAGATGTAGCCTTCTAAAATGATGAAATTAACATTTTCTTAGAAACTATTATTGATGGTGGTGTGTTTTTAAGTTTAAGGTGCTGAGTGTTAACTAATCGGCAATAGTAATAATTAAGATAATGATAAGGTGACCATTTGTAATGTTTTCAAAGTAAGGCCTCACAGACAAAAGAGTTCTCAATGTTACAACAAACAATGACTTATTTATGATTTATGGACAACCATGACGCTAAAACGAATTTCTCCTTTTAAATGTGAAAAAAGTGCCACCTGATACCAATGGTTCTCAACTTTCTAGATGCCACAACTCTTTAATACAGTTCCATATGATGTAGTGACCCCACAACCATAAAATTATTTTTGTTGCTGCTTCATAAATATGTCTTTTCCAATGGTCTTAGGGGACCCCTGTGTAAGGGTAGTTTGACCCCCAAAAGGATCGCAACCCACATGTTGAGAACCGCTGCTTTAGACCTTTGGATTACACGTTGTTGACTGAGTGTTGATTTATCGGCAATGATGTTTATCATGTATATAAATTAAGATAAATTTAAATATAGTACCAGCGTGGTGGAAAGGGGGGGGGGGCATAGGATAGGTAGCAAGGGGGGATGAGGGTATGCGAAGTAGGTAGGGGAGGGGGAACAAGAGGGTGGACGGGCCAAAGGAGTGGTATCGGCAATGATGTTTATCATGTATATAAATTAAGATAAATTTAAATATAGTACCAGCGTGGTGGAAAGGGGGGGGGGCATAGGATAGGTAGCAAGGGGAGATGAGGGTATGCGAATTAGGTAGGGTATGGGGAACAAGAGGGTGGACGGGCCAAAGGATTGGGCTTAGTTGCGAACATAATTAAATGGTTGAGGATTGTGTAGGCGAGAATGATGGTATCTGGAGAAATTGTATTAAATAGTATAGGCATAGGGGTGTTTCGGATAGACTAGTGAATAGTCAATTTTGAAGGGTGAGGGTGAAAGTGAAAACAACTAAAATTATTTATTAATCTATAAATATTATAAAAAAGTAGTCCATAAATTATAGAATAAGTATAAATTATTATTAGTATATTTAATCTTTACTGAATTAGACCCAGACATATTTTTTTTTCAGTTTAAACTTAGCAATGCATTGAATAATTTAAAATAGGCTGCCCAAAAATGAAGCCCCTCTAATTTTACGATATCCGAATAAATCAATAATCCGGAAGTGATTACAATTTTGGTAAGTAGCACAACCGTATTATTGGCAAACAAGAAAAGGGACATAACTATTTAACACGTGCAATTTGTTTACTTTTAGCAGCTGGTCTAGCAAGAAACAATTAGGCCTTTTTATTTTAGACTTTTTTTATCATTTGAAAACGGTACATAGATTATTAATTATTTATTTTAAAATTTAATACTACTAGAAAAAGTAGTCTAGTAAGACTAGTAATAGTAATAGTAACAAGTAAAATTACCAGCACTCCGGTAGTACTAGTGTGAGTGTGCCTTACTTCCAAGTTAGTATTATTATTATAAGTATTAGTAGACACTAGGCCTAGGTAACTACAGTAGTAGTAGTAGAGTTACTGATGAGTTAATAAGTGATTTTAAGTAGTTAAGTTGTTTAGTCTAGTGAAACTCTAGTGTGCCTAGTAGTTCTTTTTTAATTAGGCCCTATTTAAATTTATTTTGAAATGTTCGTTTATATTTATATAATTGTTGATTTAAACTATTTATTTAAAAAGTTAGTTGAAATCAAGGTAAATTACGCAATCCGCACCACTTGTTTTTCACTACCGCCATCCTTGGTTGCCATACCCGACATGGCAATCAAGATGGTGGCTATGTAAATAAATAATGAAAACACAAGTCAGACACAACACAAGACTGCCAGAATGTGGAGGGGAAAGAGATAGAATATGTTGTTTTAGCTAAGTACAGAGAGAAAAGAAAATAGGAATAAAATGTTAAAATTTAATGAAGTAATTTCAGCCAGTATTGTATCTCTATAGATATGCGACAAGAAGTGTCAACCCCCCTTTCCTGGCGTAATTTCGGCCAATACATTAATCATCAGTTTCATGGTGAACTTTGCAACATTACCATGTGACAAGAAGTGTCACTCCCTTTCCTGGACTAATTTCAGCCAGTACATGCTCCCTTACACCTCAATTAAAACACATTTAGGTTCTTCAGTTACACACTGAGTAAGAAAAGGGAAAAAATGAAGTAAACAATACCAAATAATTTTCAATAACGAAACCCAACTTACAGCTGTGTTATAGAATACACTTTTACACGCTTTATTTCAGTTTCCACGTAAAAGAAAATCCAAAAGTTGTAAAAAAATCAAGACAATACAATACTTAACCATTTTCCAAAATGCTGGAAAATTTTATATTTTAATCAACCACCTAATGAAATGATAATTTATATTATATACTACCACCTAATGAAATGATAATTTAAAACTTTCCATCAGAGTATTAATATTTCAAAAAAGAAAAGTTAACTCATTAACTATAGTAACAATCCAAAAATCAACAATAGGGAGAGAATCCTACCCAGAAACTCAAAATGTTGAGCCGGACCACCGACAACATTAGCCAAATTTTTGCTGTCTGGTACCCCTTTTTCCTGTGTTGGCTACTTCTTTTTTGACTAGGCTGCCATCTTTGTTGTCACGACAGCAGGCATGTTCAAAATGTAGTATCCAACACAGCCAAAAAAAGGGAAAAAGTGTGTAACAGTTAAAAGAAAAAAAATTAAAAGAAATTATTTTTAAACAAAATATTCGCATGACATTATGTCAGTGGCAACTTTATTGTATCCACTAGTTCTAGATATGCGGCAAGAAGTCTCAATAACCTGTAGTAGCTTCCTTTCCTTAAGTATCACCACAGCTACACACTATGGAGAAAAAAACAATAAAAAGAATACAAAAATATTTATATTATTTTTTTTGAAATAATGAAAACCTTACTTACAGTTTAAACGAAAACACTTTAACTCAATTTTATTACAGATCCACTGAAAATAAAATCCAAAAGATATCCAAAAATCCTAATCCATTTTCCACACAAATAGCTTTGTTTTGAAATATTTTAATTAAAATAGCCTGGTTGTGAAATATTATATTTAAGCAGCCTGGTTTTTAAATATTATAATTAAAGTAGCCGTGTTTTAAATTATTATAAATAACCACGCTATGAAATATTAATTTTAAAAGCCATCAATCAAAAACATTCCATTCTATTGGCTTATTAATATAATAAAAGAGAAGAGTTCACTCTTGTAAGAATCCAGGACAATGGGGAGCTCACTGAACCACATAGACTCTGGGGGGAACCGTAAAGTATAAGTTACCAGAAATGAATGTGTTCTGATTCAATTTGAATTTTCATTTATTCAAAACTGTGCGAGGACTGAGTTTGAGTCAAGTGAGCAGTGGTGTAGAAAGTTGGGATGGGGGTGAATGGCATTTTCAGGCCAACTTAAAGAAAGACAAAACATTATTTTATATCACCCGGTACCATGAAATTATCAGCCTACTCATGAGATACTGGAACCTGAAAAATTGTTTAAATTATATTCTATGCATACAGTGTAGTTAGCATTTTATTCTGACTTCATTAATTTTGTTCTCTTTACACAGTTAAATTTTTAAGTTACTGATAGGAATGTGCAAGGGCTAAATTATTATTGTTAATACTTAAAGTGCTATATTGAATTTTTTTCGCACCCTTTTTCTCAGAATTGATGACTAGATTTAGGTCTAAAGCAAATGGATCACTTGAATGTCAGACTTACTCAGCAGAGTGTAGAACCTGGTCACAAAACACTTGCCCAAACAGATTTGTTGGAACAAGTCCCATATAAAATTGTCTTAGATTATATGATAACCCCATTGCGTGAAACGCTGAAGGAGTCTAAGATTTTGGATTCAGACCTTAAAGATCATTTAAAGAGCATAAGCACATTGCTGCAGTTAATTTCATCACTTCAAGAAATTGGTGATCAACAACACACGAGAATAGCCAATGCTTGCAATGAGGCATTTCAAGAGACTTTAGTTAGTATCGTTGGTGATGTTTGCTTCCCCTTGCTACACTCTCTTCACCTTCTACCAGAATCAGACAAAGCCAACTCAGAAAAGGGCAGAGCCTTAGCCCTTATTACTCGTTTGATTTTAGCATGTGCCGAGTACTTGGGTGGAAACAATTTAGTTTCTGTCCTAACTCAATTGTTGATTCCACTTTTCTCATTAAGTCGTGGGGCATTCACTCTTCTGACAGAGAATAAACTCTTGTCATTGAAGATTGACAGCTATCATTCAACAGAAACTTTGAACCAATTCTCAAGCTTGGAACTCATCAGCCACCTGCTAAATAATCAAAATCTCTTCAAAAGATTTTCAGTAAATTTGGCTCATATATTGGGGGACGGTGAAAAATGGTTGGTAGATTTATTTCATGCAACTATACATGCATCAGAGGAAGAATCTGCATTCTGTAAAGCCTTTACGGTCGTAACAAAGATGTTTTCATACTATCCCAAGTCAGTACGAGAAGAATGTGGACAAGAAATATGGCAGCAGTACACACAACCTTTAAAAATGACCTCTGATGGAAATGTTGATTCTGACTCCCTGTGGAAATCATTATATGTCTTTTACTGCCTGAAGAACTATTTCTTCCCTCTGGAAGAATCGGTCAAAGAAGACTTGGTGTTTAACCTAAGTAGTGATAATTTCTGGACTATTGTGCAGGCGGGTCTTGTGGGTGTTGATCCCTCTCATCGCAAACTGTCCATGTATCTCCTGAAACGGCTAGTTGACACGTGTAATAAGAATAAGTGCACACTTAACGCACCAGTTGCTGGTGAAACTACTTCAAAGAAATTTAGTGACAAAGTTCCTCTATTTTGGTGGTCACCTAAATACGGTGACCAGCTGACAGTTATATGGGATCATTTCTTTTTAATGATAGAGACTCTAGAAGAAAAGCAGGTTTGTATACAAATTCTACTTTTCATATATTATTATCATGTAATCTTTGAAAACTATTATTAGAAATCCTTGTTTCAAAATAAATTTGCCGTAGTAAATTTAAGCTCTCTTTTTTTTTTAAAATATATGCCAAATCTATTAGAAAAAACAGACATTTATTTCATTCAAAACTAGTTTACTTACTTATACTAAATATTGGGTACATCTTAGTTTTCTAGACAAAATAGACATATTACTGGTACATCTTAATTTTATAGAGTAAAAAGACTTATCACTGGGACATCTCAGTCCTTGACTAAATAATCACCAATGATTTATCGTAAACAGTTGAGTTGTTGATGGATGTTTGACTGGAACAATGAGCTGTTGATAGAAGACTGAGTTGTTGATGGATGTTTGACTGGAACAATGAGCTGTTGAGCTGTTGATAGAAGACTGAGTTGTTGATGGATGTTTCTCTGTTATCTCCTCAATAGGTTCATGTCATCAAGCCATTACTTCCCAGAATGCAGAAACTTCTTGATGCCAGTTCCATAACCTCTGAAGAAGGTAACTGTAGAAAACACTTATTAACCTTAGATATTTCTGAATATTTCAAGTTATTGAACGTACAGTAGACAATCATGAACACTTGTGACATGTTCACTTCAAATGTTATGTCAGGAGTACAATGAAGTTTTGCTTTACAGGTCTTCCGTTACTTCACTCCTCATGGCTGGTTACCATAGTTACGCGATGCTTTCACCACGACAGTATATATATGTCTCGATGGGGTGCGCAGATATTACTGAACTTGGATTTGAATAAAGTTCCATTAGTTAAACATCACCAGCTCAAGGTGGGCAAACTTTAAGCATGCGGAATAAGAAGTTCAATTAATTTGGACTGATTTTAAGCACAGTGTAAATATTTTTAAAAGTCTTTCAATTATGAGTGACAAGACAGATATGTTGTTTTGTTAAAAATATTTTCAACTGTTTATAGGAATTGAATATTTGTATTTTCTGAAGGAAAAGTTTGAGTACTTTAAGGAATATTTGTATATCGTGTGAAGAAATTGATGAATGTAGGTTGTTCTAAATATAGTTACAGCATGTTGACAATGATATTCCACAGTTTTTGTCACATGACCTCTTGATGTACCTTCAAGAAAACAAACTTTACAGTCGGTATGTAAAATATTTATCTAAAATGGAATCAAGAATCGAAATAAGTATTATGGTATAAATTGAATTTTTTGAACAGTTCCTAGTTATTATGTGTTTATTATGTGGTATTGAGAAGACAATGGCTTTATACACTCCTGCTGTACTAGTGCACACTCCAATTGCTCCACATGCACCTGCCTGCTCCAATGCATTACTTACTAATGCACAGCACACTCCCAATGTTGCACACCTGCTTGCCCCACTGTATTATTTGCTCATGCACAGCACACTCCCAATGTTCCACATGCACCTGTCTGACCCACTGCATTTAGCTCTATTATCCCTGATTAAGGCTTTTAACTACTAAACTCTCTTAAAACAAACATCTGCTACGGTTACTGCTATGCTTGGGAGAACATCCGTCTTCTTGAAGATAAATTTCAGAACGTTTTTAACTTAGTAAATTCCGAGAGTTTGAAGTTAAGCTTGGCTCTCCAAATGTTTGAGATGTTTATTAATCTTAGATGATGAAACCATTGAAAAGATTCTTATTGAAACTGTAGAATCTATTGACAAAAATGTTATTGACCCAATGGTGGCAAATGACTCGGTTATGTGCAGTAGATGGTGGGTTATGTGGATTAATGGACTTAAATAGTGAGATATGTACATTAGAGGGCTTCAATAGTGAGATATGTGCATTAAGGGGCTTAAATAGTGAGATATGTGCATTAAGGGGCTTAAATAGTGAGATATGTGCATTAAGGGGCTTAAATAGTGAGATATGTGCATTAAGGGGCTTAAATAGTGAGATATATCAATAAGGGGGCTTAAATAGTGAGATATATCAATTAGGGGGCTTAAATAGTGAGATATGTGCATTAAGGGGCTTAAATAGTGAGATATGTGCATTAGGAGGCTTAAATAGTGAGATATGTGCATTATGGGGCTTAAATAGTGAGATATATGCATTAGGGTGCTTAAATAGTGAGATATGTGCATTAGGGGGCTTAAATAGTGAGATATGTGCATTAAGGAGCTTAAATAGTGAGATATATGCATTAGGGGGCTTAAATAGTGAGATATGTGCATTAAGGGGCTTAAATAGTGAGATATGTGCATTAAGGGGCTTAAATAGTGAGATATGTGCCTTAGGGGGCTTAAATAGTGAGATATGTGCATTAAGGGGCTTAAATAGTGAGATATGTGCATTAGGGGGCTTCATCATCAGTGGCGTTTAGCCTATGCAGGGCCCTGGCCTGCTCCACCACATTATTCCATTCGGAACGTTCCATGGCATTCCGACTCCATGCGCGAACTCCCAACTGGTGTAAATCTTTTCTACATCGTTGATCCATCTTAGCCTTGGGCGACCGGTTAGTCGTCTGCCCCTAGGTTTCTGCCTGTATATCACTTTTGCTGCTCTACATTGTGGGTTATGTGCAGTAGTGGGCTTACATTGTGGGAAATAATCCATATAATTTATTTTAAGTTTTCATTTCATCTTTCAGATATGAAGGAACATTTCTGGGTAATTGTTCACCGATTGGCCAAGCACTGAAAACATTTTTTGCAAACCTCTTTTCTTCACTCACAAAAGACCAAAAAGGTAAAAGCAAGTGTTCTATTCTTTAAATGTTGTCAGTTAGTTGTGTTGTCTTTGTAGCATCTGAAAAGTCATCAAATCTCTTTGGATCCCCTTAACTCTGGTCTAGGTGCTATGCTACTCCCCTTAACTGTGGTCCGGGTGCTATGCCACTCCCCTTAACTGTGGTCCGGGTGCTATGCCACTCCCCTTAACTGTGGTCTAGGTGCCATGCTACTCCCCTTAACTGTGGTCCGGGTGCTATGCCACTCCCATTAATTGTGGTCTGGGTGCTATGCCACTCCCCTTAACTGTGGTCCGGGTGCTATGCCACTCCCCTTAACTGTGGTCCGGGTGCTATGCTACTCCCCTTAACTGTGGTCCGGGTGATATGCTTCGGTTATATTTTTGTTCAATCCTTACCAACTTTGTCGTAGATGTGGAAATATTGAGTTTATTTTATTTTGTTGACTCGATGCTGAGAAGCCCCTTTGCCTTCTTTATTTCATATTTCAGTGGAGTATCTGAGAAATCTGCTCCAGATTATTTGTGACAACAGTTGGGGCTCCATCCCAATGGTGTTTGTGTTTCAAGGCTTGAGTCATGTTCCAGCAGATCCTGTTGTTGGGCCAGAGCTGCTACAGCTGATAAGGTGGTTTAAGTTTCTCAGATTGCTAGCTACATCATGTCCAGTGTTTCATTTTGGCTTAAAATTCTGTAAACATTTAAAAAATTTGTGTGTGCATTGTAACTATGAGATAAGATCAGATTCTTTTATTGATCCAATCAAACGGAAATGTTTTTTGATTGGGTTGTACATTTTCAGCATATAACTAAAACAATTTGAACACAAGACATCTACATTAAATTATTTCACTTGTGGAAAAAAACAGCCATTCAGTGAATTCTCTTGGCCGTATCGGGGACCTTATTAGTTCTCATTTAGATTTGTGACTTCTGGGGGAGCACGCTGGTTAAATTGTACGGATAGGGGAACATTTATACAAACAAGCTTAGACTTTCCAAGAAGAATTGACTTATTAAGTATAGGCATTATAACTCAAATATGCTTCTCATTGCTTGTTTGTTGTGTCATCTAATTTGAAAAGAAGACAAATGATATAGATTGACTTCATCTTATTATTTGTTTTCTTGTTTCGAAAGGCAGGTGCTTCAGACGTGCTTGACATTCCATGAAATAGTTACCAGAGGAGCAACTCAGTGCTTCATCTGTCAGACAGTGATCAACTTATTGGACTTGGTAAGGTGGAGGGATTCAAATGTGGGCCAAAGAATGGAGCTATCTAGTTATAGGAAAATACTTAACATTCTTGTATAAATATTTCATAAATAATGCGGCTTAAGGCCATAGAAGGAGATCAATTTTTGTCATGATAATCAAGAGTCGATTGCTTGGATGAAAATTCACAAAAATACTGAAAGGAAGATTAAAACATTTCTTAAAATCTTTCTCTAGGCTTCAGTGAATATTTTGTAGAACGTAATTGTTTAAATAGTTAGATACAGTAAGACTGGGATAATCGACCCCAATTGTGATTTGACCTTGTCCTGAGATGTGGATAATCCAGATCAATTGTGGATTGACCTCTTCTTGAGGCATGGATAATCCAGACCAATTGTGGATTGACCTCTTCCTGAGGCATGGATAATCCAGACTAATTGTGGATTGACATTGTCCACATTTGGTTTTTTCAATCCCAAACAGAGAGAGAGAGAGAAATACATTTTGATCAGAATCTTCAAACACAAAAATTTTATATTTCTATTTGTTTTTTCTTGTTTTGTCTTGTCTGCTGAAGAAGGTATTTTGCCGAAACATCCGTGTAATTGTCCTGTCTTTTCATCTCAAGCCTAAATATATCTTGTTTTAACTATTTATTTACTTTACACATCTTGAACACAGTCACTCGTGTATTACAATGAACAAATCTTGTTCCACTATTTATTTACATTACATGTCTTGAATGCAGTCACTCATGTATTACCCTGATTATCAACATCTGGATTGTCCAATCCCGTAGCAAACCTGGTTCAGTGACTTAGATACATCTATCATCATCAATGGCACTACAGCCCATGTAGGGCCCTCGCCTAGATACATCTAGCAACACAGCTTTCAACCACTATTTTATTAGACAATAGAAAGAAACAAAAGAAAAACCAAACTAGTTGAAACCTTCAGCATCAACATACAGCACTGTATTACAGCTCACAGCACTGTATTATAGCTCACAGCACTGTATTACAGCTCACAGCACTGTATTATAGCTCACAGCACTATTACAGCTCACAGCACTGTATTATAGCTCACAGCACTATTACAGCTCACAGCACTGTATTATAGCTCACAGCACTATTACAGCTCACAGCACTGTATTACAGCTCACAGCACTGTATTACAGCTCACATTCATTACTTCACAAATGCCTTACGTTGTTTTTGATTTTAAACAAGGTTTGTAAATAATTTTTAAGGCTGACAGCCCTGTCAACACTCTGTCTATCAACATGGTGTCAACACTCTGTCTATCAACATGGTGTCAACACTCTGTCTATCAACATGGTGTCAACACTCTGTCTATCAACATGGTGTCAACACTCCGTCTATCAACATGGTGTCAACACTCTGTCTATCAACATTGTGTCAACACTCTGTATATCAACATGGTGTCAACACTCTGACTATCAACATGGTGTCAACACTCCGTCTATCAACATGGTGTCAACACTCTGTATATCAACATATGTTTACTCTCATGGCGGCATCCATCAAAGTATTTTGGGGACTTTTTGTAGTCATGTTTAGAGATAACAGTACATTCACTTTAAATTGTGTTGCTATTATCGCGAGATAACAGTACATTCACTTTAAATTGTATTGCTATTATCGCTCTGAAAATTAATTTTTCTGTTATGTGATCCAGATTTTGTATGTTCTGTATTTCAGACATCCTGATTATCACCATCTTACAGTAAATTCAAAATCACATTAATTCTAAACTTGGTCCACTTCAAGCTTAAAATATTATAGCTGAATATTGCTAAAAGTTGTTGCTGCCATTTCCAGGAATCCACCAACCTCAGTGAATTCTTTAGCACGTTATCTGCACTCAGTAGAGATGAAAGTTTGCGTAGAGGCACAACGTTATGGAAAACTATAGTTGAATGGCTGAAATCAACGTCAGTTACCAGCAAATGGGATGATAATCAAGTACTTGCATTGGCTTTAGATTATCTTCAAGCAAATAAGGAAGGTAAATTCAACAACACTAAGCACAGTTATATCAAGCAATTTACAACATTAAGCACAGTCATATCAAGCAATTTACAATATTAAGCAGTTATATCAAGCAATTTACAACATTAAACACAGTTATATCAAGCAATTTACAACACTAAGCACAGTTATATCAAGCAATTTACAACACTAAGCACAGTTATATCAAGCAATTTACAACATTAAACACTGTTATATCATATATTATAGGAGAGAAGAGCACTGTGGTTGTCGATGGCTACAAGGTCGTGGGTTTAGCTCGAATGCTCATCATGTTTGCTGATGTTGAAGAACAGCGTGCAGAGGAAAATTGTCTAACAGGCCAGGACTTAATGAAAAAACTGGAGCGCTCACCTTTTGGCAAAATGTTAGCTGAAATATCGGACCTGTTGAGAGACATTAGAAACCGTGCTTACATTAATGTCAGCAAGGTAGATAACTGTCTGTCACTGCTTTACAGTTTGGCCCTGGAAGCCGGGAGTGAGTTGACTCTGCTTTTCATTTTATTGGTTGTCCAAATGTTTCAGACATTTTCATTCTGCATGTTATGGCTCTTATATAATTTTGTTCAGAAATGTTCATTTAACATGTTATAAGCGATAGGTATTTTATAATTTTGTTCAGAAATGTTCATTTAACATGTTATAAGCGATAGGTATTTTATAATTTTGTTCAGGAATGTTCATTTAACATGTTATAAGCGATAGGTATTTTATAATTTTGTTCAGGAATGTTCATTTAACATGTTATAAGCGATAGGTATTTTATAATTTTGTTCAGAAATGTTCATTTAACATGTTATAAGCGATAGGTATTTTATAATTTTGTTCAGGAATGTTCATTTAACATGTTATGGCTGTTATATAATTTTGTTCAGATTTGAAAGCCTTCCTCAATGCAAAATGCAGAAACAAATTTATTTAAACTATCAATATGTGTTTTTATATGGATGAATGTGCAGTATGAGTTATTCTCCACACATGTTCAGTATGAGTTATCCCCCACACAATACACCATCGTTCTTTGATGCTGTAAGTCAAAGTATTTTTGTTCTTTGCAATGTTCTCTGTTTACTTGTTCTAATGGTTGCGAGCGCACAATGAGATGTTCCGATTCCTTTCTTTCAGAACCACAAAACAGTCAAATTGATTTACTTTTGAAGAAAACCTTGTCAGCAGTTTTTAAAGAGGTTTCTTATTTCATCAAGAACAGGCTCTCTAATGATCTGATCAAGGTAATCTGGATTATAACACATAAGTCATATCTTTATAACACATAATTAATATCTAACTCTAGTAAAAGGGGATTTTACCACCAATCTTGTATATATGATGTGGCAATCATCTGGCAGATACAAGTAGGGCTGGAACATAGCTGTAATATTTGGTTGATACTTCATTTTTATTGAAGTTTTTTTGTTTTGTCAACAGTGTAATCCTGTTGGGGTTGTTTCAGTTTTCAATATCAGAGCACACAGCATAACATCAACATGTTTATAGATTATAGTGCATCTATTCTATCAGAGCACACAGCATAACATCAACATCTTTATAGATTATAGTGCAGCTATTCTATCAGAGCAAACAGCATAACATCAACATGTTTATAGATTATAGTGCATCTATTCTATCAGAGCACACAGCATAACATCAACATGTTTATAGATTATAGTGCATCTATTCTATCAGAGCACACAGCATAACATCAACATGTTTATAGATTATAGTGAATCTATTCTATCAGAGCACACAGCATAACATCAACATGTTTATAGATTATAGTGCATCTATTCTATCAGAGCACACAGCATAACATCAACATGTTTATAGATTATAGTGCATCTATTCTATCAGAGCACACAGCATAACATCAAC